CGTGTTCACCACGACGCGACGCGGCATCGTGAATCACGCTGGGGAAAACCCAGAAGTGACGAGCGACCGTGTGGAAATCGCGCTCCGATCTTTCACGCACCGATTGTATAAAGCTGTTTATCGATTAAACGTAATTTTCGTCGAACATTAATTGCACCTCTGTTTTTTTTTCCTCCACTATTTATTTCATCTCTTATCGATCGATTTCCTTGGAATAGTTCATTTTTGCTTTACTTATCTATTTCCTTGAAAAGATCCTTCACTTTTATACCTGGCCGTATGCTTTATCCATATCTCTAGAATATTTATCACACCTTTATTCGCTATTTTCTGGAACATTCCATTTTTCATTAATTTCCCTGCAATATTTTATCTTCACCGTCTTCACTCCTTTTCCTCGAATTTCATTTTTCGAGTTCTTCGCTTTCCAACCGTCGATAGGAAAAGAAATTCGTTCTGTACGAGCAAGTTTCTCCGATCGACTGGTAAGAAAATGCTAAGAGATGCACGTGTTGCTGGCCGTTCGCTGGCTATTCTCAATGTTCGAAATAGCTTCGTTGATTAATGTTCCGTGAAAACATGACGAAACACTTTCCATTCGAGACGACCGTGAACCTATTCCCGTATTGTCGTTCGAGCTTGATCGGAGAAGAATGAAATGAAAACTAGAAGAATATGTATGAACGACTTCCTAAAGCGTTTTCTTGAGTGAAGTATTGGAATTCGGAAAGGAAATTACAAAATGAACAAATCATACATAATAGTGTATTGAAGAAATTCTGCAGAAATCGGCATTTTTATCAATTGAAATCTCCTCTTCCTCCTCCCGCCCCGCCCTTCCAGAAAAATGTATGAACATGCACGGTGTAGCAAGCATAACTAAATATATCAGAATGGTTCAAAAGGCAATAAAAGAGAGACAATTGACCGATCGAAGAAATCACGGCCGATTTCAGCCGCTCGATCGACTAATACTTTCTTCCAATATGTTTGTACGTATACATGTGCATCTACACAATAGTAAACGCTCATGTATTTACGAAGCAAAGGGGTGCTGCATTAGGGGGGTTATTTTCTGGAATAATGCCGTGGGCGTTCAAGCGTAGAAATACAGCAGTATCGCACCGTTGATCCTATCAAATGGAAATCGTCCCGAAATCTCCCCGGTAAATCTGCTTTTATTGTTTCGAGTTAAACGCCTCATCGTATAACATCGAATTCCTTCATTCTAAATTGGTTACAACATTATTTTAAATCGAGGAAGGATAAACTTCAGAGAATAAGATATCTTTCTCGGCACTAGAACTATCAAACCTGTTAAAGTTTAGTTTTTTTGTTCTCTCAATTACGAAGCACGTACAGGTTTTTATTAAGGTTAACGCAAACGATCTTATATGGTTTAATACCATAATCGAAGTTGATGATTTTCGTGTCAATGAAATGTGTAACAGTGTCCAACATTTTTCTCGAGCAAGAGCAACATTAAACAAATTTTCCGAAAGTTTCCTATGAGCAAGGAGAACGTTATTGAAATTTCGAAAAGAAGCAGGCGAAAGAGACAACGATCAAACAAGTATTGACTCGATGTAAGACGATAATGCGACCGTCGGAATTCTTATAAGAAGCCTTACTCGTGAAGAACCGATACGGGGGAACAAGAACCGTTGTCATTTCCCACGAACGGTCCTTCGACGTCGCGAAACCAACGGAAAATTAGCGCTCGATCTCAGGAAACTCTCCCTCGAGACATTTTTGTTCTGTTTGTTACCAAACTTCGCTCCAAACGAAGCAAATTGGCAACGATAAAAATAAGGATTAAAAAAGAAAATTTACTTTACACGTTATAAACGTTTCAACTTCTACGAACTTCATAAAATAAAATTTCAAACAGATATGACTGAAAAATAAAAAATAATTGTAGCTTTAAGAACATCGTTCCTGAAAGGATCGATGGATTAACTTACGAATGAAGTTAATAACAACGAACACTATCGAACACCATCGTTTTGAAGTTCTACTGAAACGAAGGTCTATTTACTCGAAAATGGTCCTCCAAAATAAATCATCGAAGAGTAGAGACTAGTGGAGGATACACGTATAATGGAGCGGGATAATTTATTGGTAGAAGCGTGACTTCTGCCTCCATTATGCAAAATCTTGACACGGTTTCCCGGGTGCATTTCAAACCGGCCACTCGAAATATCGGTCCAGCGAAAAATGGTGCCGGGGGCAAGAGTCATCAATTACGATTGGAAATAAATCGAAGGCAGATGCGACGAGTGCCTACAGGCCTTCCCGCCGGGTCTCCGATTTTTCTCACCCCTCGCACCTCCCGCGGACAATACGACTGTTTTCAGCAAATACAAAACGATACACGAGCCCAACCACCCTCTTGCATTCTACTCTGTCGCACCCTAGTCGAATTCCTAGAGGCCCCATTGCTTTCCTTTCCCAAATATGCTTTTAAAATTGAAGTGTATTTACGTGAAAATGGATTTCTAGTAGTATCGACTTGTAAATATTTTATCGGACA